GCCTTTTCCCTCAAACCTAAAAACATGCATTGCACAAGGAAATTGAACTTGTTTTGGGTGTTGTCCTTCCTAACACTACACCAAAATTGGGTATTATAGGCTTTTTTTTTTTTGTCTTATAGAGGCGGTTATAATCGCCATTATAAAGTCTAGAGGTGATTTTTCCAACCACCTTAAAATCGCCTATAATGTCGCCATCTTTACGTCGTAGAGGCGATTTTTTCAATTGTTGAGGAATTTTGAGGCGATTAGAACCGTCATAAAATAATTTTTTTGAGGTGGTTCTAACCGCTTCTAAAATATCGATTATATGTTGCTTTATTTTTCAATATAACATATATAAAACAGCTTGGTAATCGCCTCTAAGTTCTTGAGAATTTTTATATTTTAACGTAAAATCGTTGAGGATAGGTAAAAACACCTTTAACTTTAGAGTTTATCATGAATTTGTATAAATGAAACCAATTACACTTAAGTCTCAAATGTCGCTTACAAGTTTGGTGTATAACCAAGACGACTTACGGCTATGCCAAGAGTGTTAAGCCCCGGAATTTCATAAACGAGTGACGGAATTGACTATTGAACCAAGTTGATTAGAAGTGCTTCATGCACCGAGCCCGGTTGCATAGAAGAAATCATTTTTAGTTACAAGTTTTGGATCCTTGTAGAATTTCCCACCGACGTAAACTACATGAAAAAAAAGATTATAGCATTAAAAGAAGTCATCCATAGATCGAATGAACACATTCAATCATTTACGCTCCTTTAATCTTAGCTCCAGTAAGTCCTAAAAATTCACCTACATAACATTTCAAATGAATTAAGAAAGAATAAAATAAAGAATCTTTGGGACTACATTAACATGCTAATGAAAAGAATCGAAAAAGATTTTTCATGAAATATTTAGAAGTACACATTCAAACGAAATATGAGAAAGCAAGAAATTCATACCAAATTATTATTAAAGTAGATGAGAGTATTAAATAGCTAGTTACCAAAATGTCCAAAGTTGTTGCTTCGGCATAGCAAACACCTATGCAAGGACATGTAACAATTAAGCACCATTAGCTATCTACGATACAAATGAGATGACCATCAAACATTTTGTTCATTACTCTCGGATTATCTAAAAAATATCATTGAGACAAAGCTACTCTCTAAATTGCCAAAGGAATCAAATGAAGCAATATGTAAAGCGAAGCATACAGTATTTTCGAGTGACAATCTTGAAAGTTTTCAATAGGGATAGACCAGTACCACCCCTCATCACGATTCCGTCGATAATTGCAACCTTCAAATATCCAATTGAATTTATTAGAATCGAATGAGAAAATGATAAGAGAAAAGAAATATATTATATTATTGGCATTGCCATTTAGCATAATGATAGTGCTAAATAACTTGTATACCACAAGCTTTCCATATGTTGCAACTAAATAGTCCAAAATGACTTGTTTCTTGTAAAAATTTGTGCCATAACTCCAATGCCCCGCTTCATCCAAATAGATAAACATTAACGACATCCTACGCTTTCCCATTACTTCAAACTTTCTTGGAATATGATTTTCACCTACAACCATATAAATATATGATGTCAAAACATCACCACTCGTACAAAATGCCTTTCCGTTTTCCCGTATGAATGTTAAATATGATGTCCGAGTTAGATGATAATGGCATGGATTTAAAATTCTATCACATTCATAAACCGACCTTTTTACCTCGGTATCACAACTTTGACTTTAGGACCAGACCTCACATGCTTTCAACTCCTTGATCATTCGAGAGATCCGTCAACAAAATAAAATAAAAGGAGCCATTGATCTTTTTTTTTAGTAGGTTATTTATCAAAAGAGTTGATATTGAAAGTAAAAGGAAAAATATATACTCGTACACGGCTTTGAAAAGCAATCAACATACTTCGGAAAATCAATTAGCATTGCAAATGCTTCGATAAAGCTAATGTCTCTAAATCAAAATATTTACCATGGATTTGAATCTTGTTTTGCCAATTTGGCACTACTTATTGACAACTTTTTTTGTTACCTTTGTTAACTTTCATGTTTGAGAGAAACTTGTGTCTCTCTATAATGTTTCCTAAAGGCCAATAGTAGACACTTGATTTATTAGAATGATTAATGTTATCATATGATAGTTGAGGGTGTTTAATTGCTAAGGTCCGTTCAATATCACCTTCTTCACACATACAGAGGTATGTTAAATGAAAATCAAGAAAAAGAACCTTTCTAAACCCACATTATAGAGACCAAAGACAAAGAAATCCATGAAAGAAACAAATTGATACACATAGCTAAACTAAAGTAGAGAAACTCACATTTGTTTTAGCAAGAATCAAATAAAATTGAAATACTCAATTCAAAGAAGTGGTAAAAAACACAAAAATCTAAAATCAAGAAGTCTTAACCTCTAAACAAAACTCAAATGCCCAATTCTTAAAAGCCTTAAAATATAGAACTTGAACATATAACTCAAAACTCATTCAAAGCAAAAATCTCTTAAACAAACAAAAAAATTCCTTTTTTATTGCTCACATGGGTTTTGCTACGTTACCCATCAATCTTGTCAACATAAAGTAATCTAGCATCACACACTTCTTAAGCTAATGTTAAGCGATAGGAAATCGTTATTTACGAAGGATTCTGATCATGCCTAGTTAAAATGAAAGAGGGAAGAAGACGACGAGGGGGAGAAGAAAACCGAAAGAGAAAGATAATGAAGCGTCTTTCTTTTTTCATAACCCAAAATAGAAAGATTAAAAAAAAAAAAAAAAGAAATGGGGGTACCGTGGCTGCTTAAAACGTGACCTGGGCTGATTTTATCAACCGCCTCATATTTTTTTCAGATAAGTTAAAAACTATTGAATTCTATAATGGTTTTCTTCATCGCTCCAAATATTTTGCCTCTATGAGTTTTTTTGGTGTAGCGTAAAATGAAATGGAGATAAGCAGCTATATCGATTCCTAACAGTAAAAAGATTGGAAAATCTTTCTCTGTGACAGGTTTTGGGAGTTACTAATAAAGTTAGAGCTTTGAAATTTATCTTTTTCACGATGGATCAACTATAGGAAGTGCACATTAATGGCCTAACGTAGGCATGTCTGTGAAAGGATATTCTAGAGCGGGTCAAGATCTCATTTCCAGCCTTACCTGCAGGTGAACTTTTCTTCATTTGCAGAAAATTATGTCAGTTTAAGCTTCACTAGCTGGCTGCCAATATGACTCCAAAAGACAATTTTGAGCAGCGGTAAACCATATGCTAACATTAATTCACATATGTGGTTGTCCTCCCTTAAGAAATTTTATGTTGAGCAACAGGAGGGTGCTAAGTAGTGATCATGCTGTATGGGAAAACCTCACTTCGTTCCTATTTTATTACCTGATTCTCAATTTTATTTTTAATCAATCAATTTTTTTACTTAGAAAACATTTATAGAAATTATAAAAAATATTTGAAAAAGGTGAAAGTGAAATTATTTTTCCCTTGAAATGTTTCTTTTTTTTTTTTCACAATTTCAATAAATGCTTTTTTTAATAAAAATTGACGAAGAAAAATAAAAATTAAGTTCAACATGGTCAAAAGATATGTGTCCACTGATTAGCCATTTTGTTAAATATTGCCAGGGACGTTATTAATAGAGATCCATACATACACTTGATTAATATCAAGATCTGATACATAATTTTGTTTGTGGAAGGTCAACATGGTTAAAAAAAATATGATTTTTGTTTTCATAATTTTGTTTATCAAATTGATTTAACATCAAGATCTGATACATAGACTTGATTAATCATGCTTTTAGCACAGGGAGGATACATATCAATAACCTATTAATCTTATCCGAATCTCATTTAAAACTAGACCGCATTGTCATGTAGTTTTTTTTTTTTTTTTGGTGGAAGGGTAACATTATCTAAATTTTCATAGATTAATTTGGATAAAACTATTAACTATTGGATGACTTAAAATTAAATTGAGAATTATGTACTATGCTGGAGGTGAAAATAAGGCCCTTTCTGCCTCTTGTATTATACGTTTATTTCACTTGACTGAATGATCCATCCATTAATTTTAGATTGGACCATTTATAGGAAGTTTTATTCTTAATCCCTCCCTGCAAAATATAAATGTTTTTTTTTAAAAAAAAACTCAAACAATCAAGATTTTTAACTGAATTAGTCTATTAAGGTTTGAGTATTCGTGATATCTTATTATAAAAAATTATTATTATTGGGGTTACAAACTCTTTTAGCAAATAAAAATGGTTTGGCTAGAACCCATATATATATATAATTTGTAAGATTTTTTCAACTAAATTCATAATACCTTAAATCTTTCAAAACTATCAATTAAATATTTTTGTTCACTTTCAATTAATTATTCCATTATTTGATGACATAATCTCTTATCCAAACTACTAAATTGTGATTTTTTTTCCTTCCATTCTTAGAGAAAACTTTGCCATCTAAATTATTTTGTTACTATTTTTTTTAAAAATATAAGAACAATTTGAGATAAAGAATTTTTTCTAAGAATGAAAAAGCAAAAATTAAAATTTAGTAGTAAAAAAAAGAAAAAAACTAATTAGATAACAAAATAATTGATAAAAATAAAAAATATTTAATCAACAGTTTTTTTTAATATTGTATTAAAATAAAAAAATAAATTATATATATTTAATTAAAAAAATTTTAAAAATATGACAGTAAGGTGGTGGCGAGAGAGAGAAAAAGAGAAGGGCTGTGCATGCATCAACGTGTTCGTTCATGAGCCAAAAGCTTTAGTCAGGCCTTCACAAAAAAGGAGAGAATGGATGGATGGATGGGATGGATGTGGATAACTGTTACAAACACAAATGCATTCATCATCAGATCATATGTTCAATCAGGAGATAGCATTAGCATTATAGGTGTGCGTAGAGGTGAAGAAGAAGGTGGAGGTGGATGATCAGCTCAGATCAGGTTATTGAAGAGAAACAACAATGGAGATGGGTGAATCCAGCAAAAAATACCCTCATGATGATCAGAAGCAATTACTTGATGATGATGATGACGACGGCGACGACCATGACCATCAGGTAGAAGGAGCTAGTGCTACCGCAACCTCTTCTTCTTCTTCTTGGAGGATCAGGAGAAGTACTGGTAGTACAAGTAGCCTTCTCATTGATAATTTAGTAGGTGCGTATTTTCGATCTATCCACCAGGCAGCACTCTAGCTAGCAAGCAGCTACTGGAGTAATTTATGCATACAGTATTTGTACTGTAGTCTGCTTGGCCTAGTGCTTGTGGATATTAATTTAATTATAGTAATTATTATTATAATGATGTTGTTAATTAATGGTTTCCATTTTTCTAATTGAATAATAATTTTGGTGCAGATGAAGAGAGCGATGAAGATCTTTTCACGGTTCCGGATGTAGAAGCTCGACCACCAGCAGAGTCTGCTGCTACTGCTACTGCTACTACAGTGGTGAATAATTACACTTCTACTTACAATAATAAGAATACTAATTATAATAATAATCCAGAGGTTCAATCCACAGCAGCAACAAGGAATATTAAACGCCATAGAGGACGAAATCCTGCTGACAAAGAATATAGAAGGCTCAAAAGGTGACTCCTATACAAATAATATTTCATAGCATTAGGAAGTATTATATCCTATCACATATAATTCTGAGAGTGAGTTCATCTATATATACATATGCAATAATCAAATTAGTTTGAATTAAGTACTCTTAATTTGCTATATTCTAGTGTATGTTTTTTGAAAATCTCATTCTTAATTTGTAATGCTTGGATTATGGGATGTCCCTCAAATGTCTCCTTTATTGGGGGTATTATTCATCGTGATTAATTTATCTTCTCCTGTGTGTAGCAGATTGCTAAGGAACAGGGTCTCAGCTCAACAAGCTAGAGAAAGAAAGAAGGTTTACGTCAATGACTTGGAATCAAGAGCCAAAGAATTACAGGAAATTAATACCAAATTAGAGGAAAAAATTTCCACTTTGATCAATGAAAACACCATGCTTCGGAAGGTGATGACGAAGGGATGATAATCTCTTACAAATTAATACTACTTGATTTAATTTTAGCCTGCTGATCATCACTATATATGCATCTTAATTCCCTTCTTGCATGCAGGTCCTCATGAATACTAGGCCTAAGGTTGATGAAAGCACTGAGCAAGTGCAATGACAGTTGGGCAAACGCTGAAAATGCATCACCTCCTATGATCAGATTAATATATAATATTATAGCTGATAGAATCTCAATCAGAAATGTCAATGATTCTCAAATGGCAAAGGATCACCATCACCATGATACAAGGGATCATCAATAACGTCAGACTATGACACAATGGATCTACTATATCAAGCCTTTATTGCTGTAATATTCTCTGCAATCTCAGTTTAATTAGCTAGATCTTTTCCTTACCTAGCCAATATAATCTACTTCATTTGTATCATGAAATCTTATATATACTGCAAGTATCATATGAATAAACACAATTGATTACCACAATCTCTTATGATATTAGAGCCTCTCTATTATAGAATAGAGTTTGTTTTTTTCTTCCTCTTCCCTTCTTAATCCTCTAACCTCTCTGCCTTCTTACCGCAAAACATGATAGACTCACCTTTCCACCACAAATCGTGCTACAACCTTCACTATCTCGATAGTAACACTCAATGCTCCCAATCTATCACCTCGAAGTAAATATTATGCTATCAAATGGAACCCTTATCTCCCTTAGTGCTTCATCCCAAATTCCACTAAAACTTTCAAAGGGAGGCCGCAACTATGCCTTACGAAAGTCACAAATGGCCAATCTCATGTTCGGGTATGGCTTATTTGGTTATGTGGATGGCTCTTTGCCCTGTCCACCAAACATCAATTCCTCTTATCCCTCCTGGCTTTGTTAGAATCGCTTGGTTCTTTTGGGTGTACAAGCCACTGTCATTAGTACTATCAGTCCCATCATTGACAATTGTACCTCCTCTACAGAAGCGTGGGACAAACTGGAGAGTAGCTATGCCAGTCGCTTCAACACACGCATGTTCTCTATTCTTTCCACATGACTTACAAAAAGGTTGGCAAGCCAGTTGCCACCTATATGAATTGCATCAAAACACTCATGGATGATCTCGCCATCATCAGTGTCACCCTTTGATTGACTCATAAATCATTGCTCACACCTTAAGTGGACTTGGTGATGAGTTCAAAGAATTAACTGCTGCTATCCAGGTCCGTGACACTCTTGTCTCCTTTGAAGACCTTTACAACAAAATTCTTGATGAAAAAATCATTCAAAACCGAGGTCAGCATCGCCTGGAGGATGACACCCCTATCATTGCTCAATTTGCTCAACGGCGACCAAATGGTAGACAAGGTAAAGGATATCGTTGGGACTTAGGATTTTTCTCTCCATCAGATGGAGGTTCAAGTCAAGCCAGGGTGACTGTCTGTCAATTATGTGACAAGACTGGCCGTAATGTTAAAACATGTCGCTCTCGTGCTCTACCATCCCATCACTATATTCAACCACAGGCTCATCATGTTGACGGCAACAATAACCAATCCAACTACAATTGAGTACCGGACTCGGGATCTACTCACTATATGACTTTTGATCTTCAAAACTTGTCCATACACGCTGATTATTTTGGCAACGAGGACATCATTGTTGGTAACGATAATGGAATTCCCATTTCACATATTGGTTCTTCTATCCTTCAATCTCATTTTACTTTATTTCAACTTGAAAATGTTTTATGTGCATCCTTAATACGTAAAAACCTTATTTCTGTCTCAAAATTTTGTAAAAGTAATAATGCTTCTATAGAATTTTTTCCCAACTTTTTTCTCCTGAAGGATTTGAGCACGGGGGCATCCTTGGTCCGAGGTCGGAGTATGAATGAGTTGTTCGAATGGCCATCTTTTATTGTTCTATCTTTCTTTTATCCTTCAACCTCATTCGCTACCACATCAACCATATGCCATCAAGACTCGATCACCCTTGTATGCCTATTCAACAACAAATCCTTGCTCAAAACAAAATATTAGTTCATACTCTTAACAATTTCAGTCACTATGACTCTTGTTTGTGTAATAAAAGTCACAAATTAGCCTTTACAAATTCTTCAATTGGTTGTTATAAAACTCTAAAGTTAATTTACTTTGATGTTTGGGGACCTGCTCCCACCATTTCGTTTGGCAAATTTCGATATTACATTCTTTTGGTTGATTATTACACAAAATATACATGGCTCTACCTACTAAAATTAAAATATGATGTCTTTCATATATTTAAAAATTTCTTGAAACTTGTTTACTAATTTTTTTCAGACCTCCATTCAAACAGTTTACACAGATGTTGGTGGCGAATATCAAGCCTTATCTCACCTACTTGCCAAACATGGAATTTAACACCTCACCTCTCCTCCCTACACCCCTGAATATGTTGGGTCTGCTGAACGTAAATATCATCATATTGTTGAAACAAGACTTACCTTTCTACACACTGCTTTAGTTCCATCACAATTTTAGACTTATGCCTTCCAAATTGCCACCTAGCTCATGACGTACGTCTACACCTTTTCTTCAAAATGCAACACCTTACTCTAACCTTTTTGGCCATCCACTAAAATACACCTTTATTCGAGTATTTGGGTATTTATGCTATCTATTCACCATGAATAAACTATAACCTTGCTTTCACCTTTGTGTATACCTTGGTTTCTTCATCTCCCATCATGTTTTTCTCTGTCTTGACCGACAATCCCAAAAAATATTCATCTCACGGCATGTTGTTTTATTTGAACAAATATTTTCCTATAAATCAAAATCTTGTATTAACTCTTCTATTCTTCTTGTTTGCTTTCTATGTTAGCAGTTTTCTACCTAAAAAAATTTCTCCTCTAAATAATCATGTCCACATCACTCACCAGTCCTCACAAGTCCTTACCTTATACAATATTGCTAGCTTCCATTAACTCCCTCTCACCAAATTCATGACCATCTTCTCACCAACCATCCCATTTTGACAAGGTCACCATTACTTCGACCTCTTCTCCATTTATGTCTCATGGTTCCTCTTCTTCTACTCCATTAGAATGTACCTTAAACACCAAACCATCTTTCCCATCATCATCTCCTCCATGTATGGTCACAAGAGCCCCGAACAACATACACAAACCTAAATGCCAAATTCATCACTATCTTCTCACCAGCTCATCCCATTCATACAAGGACACCATTATCTCGACCTCTTCTCCATGTATGTCTTATGGTTCCTCTTCTTCTACTCCATTAGAATGTACCTTAAACACCAAACCATCTTTCCCATCATCATCTCCTCCACGTATGGTCACAAGAGCCCTAAACAACATACACAAACCTAAATCCCTCTTTAACCTAAATGCCAAATTCATCACCATCTTCTCACCGACCATCCCATTCATATAAGGACACCATTTCTTCGACCTCTTCTCCATGTATGTCTTGTGGTTCCTCTTCTTCTTCCTCTTTTTCTACTCCATTAGAATGTACCTTAAACACTAAACCATCTTTCCCACCATTATCTTCTTCACGTATGGTCACAAAAGCCCTAAACAACGGACACAAACCTAAATCCCTCTTCAACCTAAATGTTACCACCACTCGTCTTTTCAATTTAACACAACATAACCCACTTTCTTCTCCGAGATAATGAAATATCCCCATCAACATAATACCATTAAAGAAGAATTCAATGCTCTCCGTAAAAACAAGATGTAGTAGTTGGTTCCTCCTACATTTAATCACAGTATTACTAGTTGCAAGTGGGTGTATTGTATCAAGAGGGATCCAAATGGATTAATTGTTTGTTATAAAGCTTGTTTAGTTGAAAAAGTTTTTCACAAAAGACTAGGTGTGGACTTTATAAAGTCCTCTAGTTCTTCATTTAGTACTAAGTCCGGTCGTGACACGTGGTCGATATGTCAAACAACTAGATGTGAATAATGTCTTTTTATAGGGTAACATGTCGAAACGATATTCATGCAAAGAACCATAGCGGTTCATTGACTCATAAAATCCCCATTATGTTTGCAAACTTGCCAAGGCTATCTACGATCTTCGTAAGGCTCCAAGAGCATGGTACAATGAATTGTACAGCTTTCTTCTAACTAGTGGCTTTGTCAACTCGTTGGTTTTTACCGAAAATAGAGTACGCAAAAAGAAGATAATTTTAGACTCTTGAATCCGTAATTTTATCGAATCATAAAAAATCAATTTATACATGTAAATTGTTAACTAGAATGAGCATAAAATGGAGATTATTATGGCACTAAGTCCATGACTAATAGAATGGAATAACAAACTCTTGAAATATGATTTAACTAACCACTTCCTACAAACCAAGTCTTCTCTTTGTTCTTCCGATCGTTTTTTATACGTGTAAGAACACCTCCATAATTAGCGACCTTGTAAGCGTGCTTATGGTCGAGTTGGCGACCTTGTCACCGCATATTTATTACAAGCAATCTCCGTATCGACTCTCGAGACACCGTATTCAACACTCCTCCTTGAATCCGGAGTTGCATACTCAAAGCCTTTGTCTTAAGAACTCAAACCTAGCTTATGGAATTACCTTTGTTATGATGTCGGCATTTTGATTTTCTATTCGTAGTAGATCGACCGTACTTCTCCTTCTTTTTGTATTTCTCTTAAAAAATAGAATTTCAACTTGAAGTGTTTTGTTTTGCCATGAAACATGGGGATTATTTGCAATCGAAATTGCAGCTTAATTATCTACAAACAATTGTGTACTTTCTTTTTGTTCCATATGTAAATCTACCAATAACATCCCGATCCATAGTGCTTGATTTACAGCAGCCTATAAGCAACTACATATTCTCGCTTCTAATGTGGATCGAGCTATCATCTATTGCTTCTTAGAACACTATGAAAAAATAACAAAGCCAAAACTAAAACAATAGCCGAAGTGCTCCTCATGTCATCAACAAAACTAGCCTAATCGCTATCGAATAACCATGAAAACCGAAATTTTTAATTTGACTTAACCTAAGTGCCATAATCAACCGTGCCCTCGACATACCTAATAACCTTTTTTGCTGCTTGTAAATGAATTTTACTAGCACAATGCATGTACCTCGATAGCAAACTTACTCGCATTCATGATATTTAGCCTCGGTTGTTATTAAATACATTAGGTAGCTCGTTAGACTCCCGTACACACCTTCATCAACTTTTTCAGCTTCATCTTTTTTACAAAACTTCTCCTTTTGATTCATCGGAGTTGCAGTTGGCTTGCACTCCTCCATGATGAACTTCTTAAGGATTTCTTTTGCATATTTTTATTGGTATATGAATATGTCATAATGTTTTTGTTATACCTCCATGCGAAAGAAGAATGTCATCCTCCAAAAGTCTATCATTTCAAACACATCTTTCATTTCTTCTTTAAACTTGTCAATCGACCTTCACACTCGCTTCCGTAATAAGCAAATCATCAACATACGGAGATGCCACAAGTATTTCATCATCAACCTTTCCGAATTACAAAGTAAATTCACTCAAGCTTTTATTAAAGCCTAAGTTTACAAGGTGTGCATCAATCCTACTATACCGTGCTCTCGGTGCTTGTTTTAAGCCATACAAGGCCTTTTTCAGCAAGTATACTTTCCCTTCTTGTCCTTGCATAACAAAACCTTCAAACTCGCTCTACAAAAATTTTTTCTTTTAAGTATCCATTCAAGAAGGTTGATTTGACATCCATTTGGTGTATTATCCATCCTTTTTGTGCAAGAATGCCCCGCAAGAATCTTATAGTGTCCAATCTAGCAGACTAGGGCAAAATTCTTAGAAAAATCCATCCCAAACATCCGAGCATATCCCTTGACAACTAACCTTACTTTGTGCTTATTCACATAACCGTGAATTGAGTTTGGTTCGTACACCCATTTGAATCCAATAGCCTTTTTATGTGTAGGTCTATCCATTAGCTCCTAAGTCTAGTTCTTCTCAATCATCTTTAGGTTCTCTTTCATTGCGAGTCATCCATTTTTGATCCGATGCAGCTTCTTTATAACTAGAGGCTCCATTACGAGTAACATTGCACCTCCGATGGATATCGAAAGTGATCCGGTTCCCCGACACATTCTTTATCAATATCATTATTCTCCTCCCGAAACTCAAGTTTCTTATCATCTTCCCATCTCCAGCTATCTAATTCATGGAATTGAACATCCGTGTTGATAATTACTTTGTTCTTTTATGGAAGATATATCCCGTAGACCTTTGAAACTAAGTCGTAGCCTACAAAGATCCCTAGTTCTCGCCTTTTTATCCAGCTTTGTCTCTCTTTATCCGAGGAGTGTAAGAGAAACAAAAGCAACCAAATGTTTTCAAATTTAACAGCTTGGGTTTGTAGCCATACCATGCTTCAAATCGAGTCTTTTCTCGTAAAGCTTTTGTTGGCAATCTGTTCAGCAGAAAGACTACCGTGTTTGCGTGCTCAACCCAAAATTTCTTAGGTAATCCTTTATCATGCAAGTAAGCATCCGGTCATTTTCATGAGAATTTTTTTCCCTCTCTATAACTTCATTTTGTCAGGGCATCTAAGAAGCGGTCACTGGTGCTCAATACCTACATCTTTAAGAAATTTGTTAAATCTGTTTGAGGTGTATTCGGCTTCATTATCGGATATGATCACTTACATTCCGTATCCACTTTGTGTCTCTACCCGAGCTTTAAATTTCCAAAATATGTCGACAACCTCAAATTTAAATTTCATGAAATAAACCCAAGACATTCTTGTACAATCATCAATGAAAGCAATATAATACTTTCATTCAATGATGGTGTTTTTGAGGTCCTTCTACATCTTTGTATACTAATTACAGCTTTTGTGTAGCCCCCAGTGCCTTGTTTTGTGGAAAAGAAAGCCTTGTTTACTTCCCATACTAACAAGCAACACATGTAGGAAGGGTTTCCACCAAATCGGGTAAGCCTTCAACAAGATTGTCCTTTTTCATGAAGAGTAGGGCGACATGATGAAAATGCCCCAATCTCCTATGCCAAAGTATTGTATTACTATCTTTTTTATGTACCGCAACCTCGCTCCTCCTCCAAGTAAATCAAGGTAAAGCTTTTGTCTCTCATTTGAACTCAAAAAACCTCACTTCCTTCGGCATCTTTAATCATGCAATTTTTGTCCTCAAACAGAACCTTATAGCCTTTTTCCAATAACCGACCAACACTCAAAAGGTTTTGATCAATTTCGGGAACATATAACACATCCGGGATTAGTTTCAAACCCGAGATGCTTTTAATTGCTATTCTCCCTTTGCTTTTTGCTGCAATGTATGCTCTATTCCCAATTATAACTTTGGAAATGGTAGCTTTGGTGAGTTCTCTAAAGAGCTCATGGTCATAAGTCATGTGGTTTGTGCAACCACTATCTATCGACCAACTTTCGCAGAGTTGTCGTTGGCAAAGCATGATGCAACAAACAACTCGCTTCTCTTATGATTGATCAAACAGCGAGCCTTGGCTTCTCCTAGCTCGCTATTGACTCTCGCATATCCTCTTCATATGCCCTAGCTCGTCCACATTTGTTACACTTTACATTAGGCCTCCATTAGTACCTTTTTTGTGGATGATTTGTCTTTTTACAATGAGGATAGGGCGGATAGGTTTGAGTGTTATTGTTGTTATTATTGTAATTGCTTAATCATGATCCAGTGTTGCTTATAGATGTTTTTCTTCTTTTTGCTTCGCTTCCATTGTTGTTGTTCTATGATCCGGCTTGTAAAGCCCCTTCACGTAACCTTCTAGTCTCATAAGCCTCCTTTGTTCTTATGCCCGTAATGCATTTAAAAGATCTCCTAAGGTGATACTTGAGAGGTCTTTAGCATTCTCAAGTGATGAAATTATGGCCTCAAACTTTTCGAGAATTGTAACTAGGATTATCCGAACCATTCTTGAACCGTAAAAGTCAATACCTGAAGCCTTACCCCGTTAGCTATGTTAAGAAGTTTATCAAAATAATATTTGATTGTCTCTCGAATCCTTCATCCTCCGTAATTTGAATTCTCTAATTAGATTGAGAACTTGCATGCCTCTAACTCTTTCATCTCCTTCATACTCCTTTTTCAAGAAGTCCCGCATTTTTTTATTGTCTTTAGTGTCATGATTCGGTGAAAATTGTAGATGAAACAGTTCGCAAACATGCTAGCTCTAGCCTTTGATTTCCTTTGTTTCCTCTCTTTTTGATTTTTAAATTGTGTCATGGTTGGATTGTTTAGTAAAGGAGGAACTTCGTATTCATCTTTAACGACCTTCCCACTTATCATTTGCATCAAGGCGAGCTTCCGTTCGACGAACCCACACTTGATAATTTATTCCATCAAACACTCGGAGGTGCCACCGTAGTAAATGAGATTTCTAAACCCATTCTGAATTTTTTGTAGGTTTTTTGTGTTTTGTTTAAGATAGGTAGTGAATCTTCGGGACAAATGTTTAGGTTCTCTCAATTTCACGAGTCTCTCAAGATTATGGCTCTATACCAATTTGTTGGTTTTTACCGGAAATAGAGTGCAAAAAGTAAGCAAAAAGAATATAATTTCATATTATTGAATTTGTAATTTTATTGAATCATAAAGCATCAATTTATACATGTAAATTGTTAATTGGAATGAGCATAAAATAGAGATTATTATGGCACTAAGTCCATGACTAACATAATGAAATAACAAACTTTTAAAATCTGATTTAACTAACCACTTCCTAGAGACCACGTCTTCTCCTTGTTCTTCTAACTATTTTCTATACATGCAAGAACACCTCCATAATCAACAACCTTGTAAGTAGGCTTACCGCCAAGTTGGCAACCTTATCAGCTGCATATTTGTTGCAGCAATCTTGTATCAGCTCTTGAGATACTGCATTCAACAAACTCTCACAGTGATGCTTCCTTCTTCATCCATCGTATATCAAGAGGCATCACGTACGTATTGGTATACATTGATGACATCATTCTCACTATCAGCCTTCCCTCTTCTCTGCAAGCCTTTACCTCCTCACTAGCTTCTCAATTTTCCTTCAAGGATTTAGGTTATCTCAGTTACTTTTTGGGCATTGAAGCCCATAGAACATCTAATGGTATATTTCTCACTCAAAATAAATATGTGCTTGATCTGCTACACAAGGTCCATATGCATATAGCCAGTTCAATCTCCATACCTCTTTCCTCTAGTGAAACTCTGACTAAATGATGGTTCCCCTAGTCATGATGCCATTGAATTTAGACAGGTTATGGGTTCACTTCATTACCTCTTTCTTACTAGACTTGATGTTGGTTTTGCCATCAACAAACTAGCCTAATATATGCATCGACCAACCTCTAATTATTGGACATATATCAAAAGAGTCTTGAGATATCTGAAAGGAACATCACACTATAGCCTTTTCTTATCTGCTCAGTTTATCCCCTCTTTACATGCATTCTTTGATGATGATTGGTAGGAGATGCTGATACACATCACTCCACCTCAGTTTATGTTGTATTATTGAGGTCTAATCTGATTAGTTGAAGCTCAAAAAAACAAACTATTGTTGCTCATTCCACCACTAAAGCCGAGTATAAGGCTGTTGCTGCTGCTACTACTGAACTCAATTGGGTAACCAATCTAATTAGTGAACTTGGTGTATCTTTTCCTTCCACACCAACAATCTATTGTGATAATGTTGGTGCTATATACTGTTGTTCTAATCCCGTGTTTCACTCCTGCATGAAACACATTGCCATCGACTTTCACTTTGTTCATGATCAAGTCATTGCCAAGGTGCTTTGAGTTACTTATGTCCATTCCACTGATCAACTTGCTGATTCGCTTACCAAACCCCTAGCACACTGTCTATTCCAGCGGTATTGTACCAAGCTAAGTGTCCTCCTCGAACCCTTGCGCTTGCAGTGGCATGATAGAATCTTAGTCAGTAATGTCATTGATTCTCAACCAGCAAAGGATCACCATCACCATGATACAAGAGACCATCAATAATGTCAGCCCCTGACACAAGGGATCTTCTATATCAAGCCTTTACTGTTGTAATATTCTCTGTAATCTTTAGTATAATTAGCTAGATCTTTTCCTTACTTAGCCAAGATAATCTTACTTCTTTTGTATCATGAAACCTTGTATATATATACACTGCAAGTATCATATGAATAAACACAATTGATTACCACAATTTTTATATATGGCGAATACTTGAGTGGCATGCACTTTTACGAAAATAGAGTGTAGAAGCTGGTTTTTAACTGGTGAAATCTTTTCCATACGAATAGCTGCTCAGTTTAAGACCAAAAAAATTGCAGCTATGCATGGATTTTTTTTTTTTTTCAGGTAGCTTTGAATCAAATGCATGCGGCTGACTATGTATTATGTTGTGCTTCAGTGACATTATTTTTTTATGCCTTTGCTATGCGACTGTGTTTTGCTTCATCATGCTACTTGCAACAAGAAGATTTTAGTGCACCTTATTTATGCAACCATGTTAAAATTTCATCACAAGTAGGACCCTTTGATGCCATCAAATGCTGATTTATGCAATCACAGAGGAACACATGGCAAATCTTACCTTTCTTCCAACTTAGTTGACAGCTTTTGAAAGAAACCTCGCTGCAAGTATTTTTGCAAACAGCATGATGAAGCAACCCATGGCAATGAAGGAGAGGAAAGAGTTGAGTTTTCCACAGAAGAAAATTTGTTGGTGTAAGTTTGAGAAGAAAGTGACCATTCAGAGTTGGAAGGGAAGGAGTAGACGTAGGAAGAGTGGTGGAGACATTCTTAGTAGACATGTTAAAGAATAATAAGCTGGAAGAGGCAAATAGATTGGGGGAAAAAAAAGGACAGTAGAGCAAAGGCTATTAAGCCACTTCTAGTTTTGATACCATATAAATAATATATGTTTCTCTTAGCATTACTTTCACATAAGCTACAGCACGCGTGTGTGTGTATATATATATATATATAATGACTTGACAATTTAGCTAAGGTCAATCTGTCACAGTAGTTGCTAAAAGGCTAAGAATGCTGACAAGTAGAAAAGGCTAAGAATGATAACAAGTAAGGATACTTACCAATTTTTATAAGCATTGAGCAACCTCTAACAGTGATTGAGGTAAAATTACTCTGCAGATTCCACAAAAAAGGACCACACATTTTCTTCTCATTCCCAAGGAAAGGCTTACTTATCATGTATCTCATCAGTCATCAGTCATCCCTTTTTTTCCAATCGTAGGTAGGTACTTCCTCAGTATTTCAGGGAAAACAAAAATCAGTGAGACAGAGGCTCTGGTCTGTTTATTGGAATGTAAAATTATATGGACGATAAGTTTACTCATCCCTAGCCTGTAATCTCTGTCGGTGGCCGTCACACATGAATATTCCACTCACCAATGGTCGGCTGGTCCTGGCTCATGCATCAAATTTGCTTTGATTGATCCTTTGTCTCCATCCATCGATCACACTCCATGTCACAGCTTCAACATAGCCAAAGAGTTAGTGTGCGGTGCTTACATGTCCATAAGATTGTTACAGATACCATATTTTCTGCTTTACTGCAACACTGATAGTAATGAAATTGTTACCTACAGGATGTATGTTGTTGATATAGAATATTTTTACTTGTTTGTTCTTCTTCTTGTTCCCACCCCAGAACATAAATCTTTGTTTACAGCTATTGCTATCACATTTGCCTGTGTCTACTTTTTTTTTTTTTTATGGACTTAATTCAATTATTTTGGAGTTTCATGCTAGCTGGTATTGGTTTTCTAGGGACAGCTCAGAAGTAGGTGATTACAGCAAAGATTAATTATATATTCTCAATCTCATTAGCAGAGTTGAAAGCTAAAAAAAATATAATAATTTGATTAGGGTGGGTCTATTAGTTGTTAATTTTTTTTTAAAATAGTAATGATTTAGAATAATTTGAGCCCATCATGTCAGTACTGGCCATGGTGACAGCAACAATCATTGAAGTAACTAGACGTACTCAGAAGATACTCTGCTGATACATCCTTAAAACCCTCGATCTGTAATTTGTCTGATCGCTATCAGTACCAACTAAATATTCCTTATGAGATTCAGAACATGTATATAATTAAATTTGATATCCAGTTTTTGACTTTACTTCACCAGCAAACGAACCTTCTCAACCATCACTTCTGTCTAAATATTTATCCAATTTCCGAAATGGTGGCCTGCATTCTGCTGTTCTTACCTTTTTTTTTTTTTTTTAGCACCTTGTGCATGAGATAAAAATACTTGGAGCTTGATGAGACAGCTGAGGGCCAAAACCAAATAAATTAAATAGAAGAGAATCAAACTTGAGTAACTTGTATACATCAACCTCTTGATTGTGACTTCTCACTTATTTTGAAGCTTCCCCTTCTCCATCAGTTAATAACAATTCAATACCTTCATCATAGATGTTGTTTCCTTTTCTCAAACTTGTATACATCCTTCCTTCCTTCCTCCCTTCTCTCTTCCACTTCCACCTTAATCATAATAACATTAATAGATTATAAGCCAATTCTTTCCCAAAGCTTTGCTTCTTCTGATCAGTTCTTTGACAGACCATTTTTCAACTAGAAAATTAAGCTTTCTACTTCGGATGGGGAGGCAATCTTGCGGTTACAAGCAGAAACTAAGAAAAGGCTTGTGGTCCCCGGAAGAAGATGAGAAGCTTTTGAGGTGCATTACCAAGCATGGACATGGAAGCTGGAGCTCTGTCCCCAAGCTGGCTGGTGAGACTCCTTGTCTCTCTGGCAGGCCCCTGCCAACCCAAGGATGTTATTTAATTTGCTTCCAATAAATTTTTGTTTATTTTCAAAAGTCATTATGAATTTTCAGGTCTTGAAAGGTGTGGAAAGAGTTGCAGGTTGAGGTGGATGAATTACTTGAGACCAGACTTGAAGAGAGGCACATTCTCAAGTCAGGAAGAGAACCTCATAATCCAACTTCAGTCAGTTCTAGGCAACAGGTGCCGATAATTTTTTGGTTTCTTCCATATGTATTATTAACCTAACAGTATTCAGGCAGGAATCGGGTGTTAATTATTCAGATCACTATTACTTGTCCTAATAGAACTGCAATTGCACTCCTACCCTATCAGGTGGTCTCAAATTGCAGCACAATTACCAGGAAGAACGGACAATGAAATAAAGAATCTATGGAACTCTTCCATTAAGAAGAAACTCTTGCAGAAAGGTATTGACCCCAGCACCCACAAGCCACTTTCTGAGATTAAGCTTTCTACCAGCAAGAGCCCTGAGAAGGCTTCAAGAGAACTGGATGCAGTGATCTCACTCAATCTCAAGGCAGATAGTTCAAAGCCATCACTCATTGATGTATCAAGCTGTAAGATTGAAAAAAGAGATGACAATTTGAATGCCTCCAAATCCAGTGCCCACCAGGAATTCTTCCCAAACAACTCTTTGCCATCCAATCGATACCCCAACATCCAGTTCAACCCTTTAGATTCAAGTTCTTACCTGCAATTTCCAGTTCAGCAGTTGAATCATGAGCCAATTACCTCTCGCTTTGAGCACCCAAGTTCCGAATTAAGGCTTAGCCAGAAGCGCAGGCCTTTTGAGCCAAATCAAGAATTTAATTCCAGAACACTACTACCCACGCTTTCAAGGTCAATCGCATCCGATCAAATGGACAATAAAACTTATACAGGTCTTCCCTCTCATTCAATGTGCACATTCAATAACATCCATTGGGATTCAAGTAATTGCAGCAGCAAAAGTAGTGAGTTTTACAACAAGACCTTATTGGAGAGCAACGTCTTCTCATGGGGGTTGGCGGATGATTGTGGATCATCAGACAAGACCTTACAACACCATTTCTCGGATGTTGAGACAGCAGATATCAAGTGGCCGGAATATCTCGACACCCCATTTCGAGCTGAACACAATCAACCGACAGTACACTTATGAAGCACCAAACTAATATCGAATGGATGGAGATGGCTCAAATGCAAATTGGCATCACCTGGAGGTATTGACAACAATTATTTTCAAAGTTCGGTATACATGATTGTGTTGTAATGACTTGAGGGATAATCTAGGGTGCACCATTTGACCGGTGTTAAGTAGATCTTAAATTTATGATGCAATCCTTTGTTGGCACAGAGAAAAAAAGATTTCCATTTAGAAAGACCTTAGCTGTGATTTCGAAGTGTTTGTTGCAAGATATTTTACAGCATACTTGGCAGATGTAAATTTTACAGTATGTTTTTTTATTTTTATTTTTATTTTTCCTGAGCATTGCATCCATGTCAAAATAGCAGAATCAAAATGCTGATCCTTGGTTCTTGGTTGGCAAGAACGTGCAGATTGAATGCTTTTTTCTTTTTTTCTTTTTTTTTTGAATTTCAGTTAATAAAGTTATTGAAGATACTGTCTTCTTTTTATAATCTCTCTCTCTATCAAAGAAAAAAAAACTAGTGTCCGTGCTAAATTTCTCTCCACTCGGTTCTATCACAGAGTTGCCTCCTTGCATGTTCTAACGCTCACTTCTATGATGTTGATGATTTTGGGGGAAGAAACATGGGACTAGAACCTTGGCAAGCAACTTCCTGGATTCCAGGAAGGCACCATCTCGGATTGTTGCCAGGGGCGGACCCAAGGACAATCCTACAGGGGCCTTGTCCCCCCCCCCCCCCCCAATTATTATTATTATTATTTTTTTTTTTTACCCATTAAGAACCTCATGCCATACTCTTTTATCCTCTTTTTTTATTTTATCGCAATTCTACTTTTAATACAACATCATTTTAATTCATGCTTTAATTGATTTTTTTTTTTTTTTTTTTTTAGAATGCTTCAATTGGAATTTTAATTAACCTATGGATAAATGAATGTATTTTTACACAAAATAATTAATTTGAGGGCTTAAATAGGTATAATTTCTACGTAAAATACTTCCTAGGCGTAAAAAAATTCACCTAAATTCATAGAATATTCTTACACCTCTTTAATGATTTTTCTATGTCCATTGGATAGTTTTCAAACATATTTAAAATACTGAAAATAATTAATTTGTATAAAAAATATTATTCATGCACCGAAAATATTTATCGAACATTAGAAAATTCACCTCATGGGATAGAATAATCTGGCACCTCTAGAAAATATTCTTTGCAAACAGAATATTTTTCATACACATTTAAAATATTCAAAATATTTATTTTGTACAAAAAATTACTATTTATGCATTGAAAAATAGATAAAATATTCACTCAAGCATAGAAAAATTATCCTAAGTGCACCAAATATTCTAGCATTGTCATGGCAACTATCATATGCCCACATAATAGTTTTTATACATCCTTAATATATTTTTAATTCATTTAATAACAAGTTCGGGATATTACAAAAGGGCTAGAGATACTCGTTGGAGTTCTCATCTAAAATCTATTTCTAACTTGATGAATATGTTTAATGCAATTATAGTTGAGCATCATTACAAAGCCGACATATTCAATATTGTGATAGATTTTCAATTGCAAGAACTCGAATAATAAATTCAATGATCACACGATAGAGCTACTCATTCTTAATCGGGTTTAGATCCTAGACAGATATGCATATCATTTAGAATTGATGACATTTATAAGCTCGGTGTCTAAATTTTACCCTCAAGACTTTGTTGATCATAAAATGCCGCAATTAAGGATGCAATTTAAGCATTTTGATCATGTGCGTAATCTTTCGATTTTGAAACATTTTCAACTATATCTAATTTGTGTCAATGGTTGTTGAAAACAAGAAAATTTGAAAGTTATCCACTTGTATATAAGTGAAAACACTTATTTTTACTCTTCTAATTTTTATGGCTATCACGAAGCGATCATTTTTAGCTATGAGTATGGTCAAGATTAAGCTTTGTAATAAGATGGAAGATGAATTTTTTTTTCCGATTGTTTGTTAGTGTATATTGAAAAAAAAATTATTGAAAATTTTAGTATAGATTTGCTCGTAGATGATTTTTGTGACATGAAAGAAAGAAGATCTCTATTTTGAATGATTGTATTTTGAGATTATTTTAAAATATATATTGGTATGTTATTTATAATATATATAAATTTGTGTAAACCATAACAAATTTATAAACATTTATTTTGGCCTCCATTAATATTTGATCTTACCTCCGCTACTGATTGTTGCCATGCATGATCTCTTAAAGAGTAGCAATTTTGCCTCTTCTTTATGGAGATTGAGCACTTATGCTTGTGACTTTCAAATTTCTAAGATGCCAACATGCCTAGAAATACCGAAAAGATGTTTGCTACCCCCACAACCTTTGAAATCATGACATCTTTTCTCTAGAAGTAAATTAGAAAAAAATAATTACAAACTGTTCAAAGCTGTGCGTTCGAATATGAAGGAGAAATGCGAAAGTGTATGATAACTTCTACTTTGACAAGATAGTTGATCGGATTTTAATGTTGAAGCGAGGTGGAGAAATGATCTAGAGGAAAGCTCTGATGTGTAGCTGTAAAATAATAGCATTACTCAGAACTTTCTTCCTCTTGTTATCTTTTTCCCATTTCTCCTCATAGAACACAACATTTTGTGGTTATCACTCTTGAGCAATTAAAATCAGGTATCATAACATTGTCGATCATAATCCTGCAGTCCGTCTAGATCAATGACTAAGCAGAATTCTTATGATGCCTCTAGAAATTATGATCAGCATATTCCTAATCTTTAATTATTTATGATTAACATTTGAACTCCTAATGATTAGAAGTTGTCAGAATCGAAACTAGCTAGTTTCAGGCAGCTGTAACCCCAAGTTTCCTTGACAACTGAAATTGTAGTAGCATGCATGAATCCCAAATTGTAGTAGTATGCATGAATCCCACAACTAATAAGTTTTATGTAGCCATTAACAACTTTCATGACCCTTCAACTCCAATGAAAAGCGAAAAAGACACAAAATAGACTTGATGATCGTCACATGCGCTTCTCAACAAGAATTTATTTTCTGGAATGTTCAAAAACACATATTCTAGCTATACAACTAGAAATTCTCACTTGAACACCAAGTGGTGGCAGGTCCGGTCACAAGGGTACGGACAGTCAACAGCCATAACAACAGCACGATCAAAATACCAGTTGCCAACAGACTCCGCTATCCCCTGTTAGTCATCAATTGCATGTTATCGAAAAATTTCGTAGTAGGGATTCCCACTGATGAGGCACATAGCAGGATTGTTTTTTGCCCAAATTGGGCATATGACAAGTGACTTATAAGCACATATTTTATAAACAACAAGTTAGGTTGGAGTGGCCTTACCTTGCTTCCAATGTGGGGAGAACCTGGAGAAAACCATGTGTCCTGTCTCTCTGTCTGGCAATGAGCAAAACATGAATTTATAAACAATCCATTTTTCTTCAACCTTGAGAAGCCTTTTACAGCACTGAGCATTTGATTTCTGAAACCTGATTCAGGTGAAGAAGTATGATAATAAATTAAAGTAGAAGTTATCGTCAAAATACTGCATCAAATAAACAAACAAATGATATCATGAAACTATCATTTGAAGGGACAGTAATAATCACCTTGAAGAAAACCAATTTGTGTTCCAGTGCAACGTGCATGGTTTTTTCTGCACCCAATCCAATGTCCATGATGATCAGCTGAGGCTGGAGCTAAGCTGACCTGGACCTGTTTCAAGGGAAAGTAAATGCAAACAAATAATTTGTTCTTTTTTGTCATCAAACACTCACTATAAATGGTAGAATGTGTTAGTTCATATGAAGCATGAAATTTCATGCCTCAAAATCATTCACTATCAATGGAAAAACAATGAGAACCGACGACGTAATTAGGATCTTTCACACTATATATGCAGCTTCTACAAGTGACCTAACTGTATCTGTATGCTGGTATCCTTATATCCCAATGGGTAACGATTCAGTATGTAAGCCAGTGACATAAAATGTGTTTGTATTAAGATCTTGCGACAACATATGCGTCACACTTGAGGCAGATTGGAATAGCAGAAATTCCCTCAGATAGTAAATTCATTTTTATTTCATTATCTAGATTAAATCGTAAGAGCTGTAGAGATACAATGCATACCTGCCATGTATCATAAGCTGTATTGACAAGAAAAAGTGGAGTCCTGACGCTAGCAATTAATCTCTGAGGGAAAAAGCACTGAGCAAAGAAAATTCGTGAACAATATCAGATGGAAAATGGAATGGTAAGTTATATATTTGTTGTAAGAAAAGCAAGGAAAAAGATACCATAATTGGATTGAAGCGTTTAGTACAACCCTGGGGCAGGTTCTTTTGCATCCCCTGCAATAGAATAAACATGTAGTTTTTCTAGACCAGTCTTGACCACAGAAAATTATTCAGATCACTAAACTTGGTACTAAACGTGACATATGGAAATACATGATTCTGTCAATGTCAACCAACTTCACAAAATTAAGGAGGTAGCAAAGAAATTCACCCCAAGAAGCATGATCCTTATACATAAAGTTCGAAGGAGATAGTAAAGATAGTGTAGAAATGCTATATAAAGCAAAAGTAGATGACAAAGTGAGGATGGATTGAAAGAAGAAGCATCAGTCCAGCATTAACTTGAACGATAGAGAATTGCTTCAGACCAAGTCCAGAATAACTGAGATTGAGTATTTGCTGGACTAGATGTTAGGATCAACTAAATAGCTGGTTTTTGTAAGCTTAAAAAGATGATTTTAAGTTAAGTGAGGAGAAAAAAAACTTTAAACAGAAAAAGAAATGTATACAAAATCCATCCATTATTCTGTCATAATAACAAGTTTAATTAATGGTTGAGGAGTCTGACAAAAGTGAAATATCCATAGACAAGATGATTGGTACAGAATCATCAATTAATGACTTTCTGCATGAATAATGATTTCCATCTTGATATACCCATAGGTAGCTGTTTCACAGCACTGAATCACTATAATGGAAACTCTGAAGGAAAGTCTTAAGTACCTGTAGGATGACCACTCCTGCAAACATGTATCTTAACGTGCGCCAACCAGAGATGTCAAGTCTGCATACAAGAAAGTACTGCAGTTTAGCCATAATAAATTAATAATTGGTAACACATTGAGGAGTGGAAATGTAAGGATCTTGTGGTTGTTACACGTCAAGGAATAAACCAGCATCACTGAGGCACTTGACTCTGGTAGTTTTTGGAAATAACTGCCGGAATTCGTCACAATGTAGTATAGATGCTAAAGCCCCAGCTGAACATCCAGACAGAAGAGCCTAGAAAACAATAAATAAACAAATAAATAAATAAACAAATTTTTTTTTAAAAAAAAAAAAAAGTGCATGAAATTTGTATGGCAGGATTGCAGAACCTGATTAGCATAGCGCATTCCTTTCGACATCAAATCTTCCATTACAATTGACCAGATTCTTTGTCCTCGAAAATATAGTTGTGCTGCCTATGGAGTAAGGATGAAATCATTATTCACTCAGCCAAAGGCCTGGTAAATTTCATTCAACCAACATAAATAAATTTCAATTGGAGAATAGCTTAAGTCCAGCAGCTTAATGAGCATGGCAGAAATACCCTCAAACTACTGATTGTTAGGAAATGTAGATAAATATGAAGTATATAAACACTTCAACAATGCTACTGTTGATGAACCAATAGATACTTCATGAAGTCCATTAAGTTTCTGCATAATGTAGGAGTTTTAATTTCTGTTTTTGAGAGTTTTGAAATGAAAAGATCAGACTTGGCAAAGCACATAAAATGCAATACGTGCTGAAAGATCACTGACCTCATTTTGACTGTCTCCGCTGAAAGATCCACCATCGCAGTAACGAACCTTGACTCTATTCCAATTATAAAAATCTGCAAATGTACCTAATAGTTTTAGTTTGTGAAGAAAATAGACATCCATCACATAATACAAGAATTATGAACTTATTAAGAGTCGTGTATGAATGACCCGGATTTTCTTCAGCTTTGTTGCTTAGTATGCCTTCAAAAGGTATCTGCTTTTCCATATAGTGCGAAGAACCGTGGCGCGTTTTCTTACTGAAAACACATTTTCTGATTGAATTACACCATCCTCCGCCCTGTTTGAGAATCAGAGAGACAGAGAGCAGGTTTAGGTGAAGGCTTGAATCCTGAAGAACAAGACATGATAAAAGGGGTAGGAGCCTAGTACTACTATAAATTTCTGAGGCATGCTGGTTGCTTGCTGACTAATTAAGAAGAAGTGGATTAGCTGGTTATGGATACCTCCAACTGAATGAGCCAACTGTTTGCCCCTGATCCATATCCTCGGTGGAGGTGGTATCCTGGTAAAGAGCCGTCGAGGCAGACTGGACGAAAGCATCCATAGTATCAGATTTGCTTAGTTTGTAGTTGATCATGATGATCAAAATCACAGCTGATTCGATATGCTTGGTGGAGACTCAAAGAAAGTGTACTACTACTAGTAGTGCCATGAAAATGACTGGATGGACTTGAATTTATACTTAACCAGGAAACCCAAGATTCTCCAATATTTGAAAGATAATAAAGCAGGCTAAGGAACTGAATATCGAGAAACAAAACTGGTGCTGAAGAGCAATTACAAAACAAAGGAATACTAAATGGAAAAGAAGAGATGAACAAATTAATAAAAATGCAAAAGCAACAGGTAGCAGAGGAGAGGATGTAAGTTGGTTCAGTTTATGTGAAGCAGAAAGAGAAAGTAGTACTCCACAGACTGAGTGAGTCATTATCATTCATATTATCAGTAAGTAGCTGCAAATGAAAGCAGTGAAAAGAATGCAGCTAAGCATGGGATGAGATGGGATCATAGTAGTACGTATTCTATTAATTAGTGCAGAAAAGATGATGGAGAAGTGGATCAAAATAGAAAAAAGTAATCACTAAATGAGCACTAAAGGAGCAGAGCAGATGAGAATTAAGAGTAATGATAAGAAGATACCAGCTCCCTTGGAAGCAGCTTCATTTATAAGAGTTAGGCCCACCATTAACGATGGTGTACGACGAGCATATGCATATGGAAATGCAAATGTTGCTGCTGCTGCTTTATAACTGACATTTTTATTAGTATTCCAATCTTGCAGAGGTTGAGGCTGCGGCTGAGAGTGTTCAAATTCAATACAGTTTACGCATTTGCACATTAACAAACCCATCACTAACCCATACGTATATCCCCACCACAAGTACATCATCATCTTCTTCTTCTTCTTCTCACTAATTGCATTCACTAATTCCGCCAAGACAAGCACGGTACTACCTATTGACACTCTTGCAGATATATATATAGACTTTTAATTCAATTGACGAGGCAATGCATTTTGTTTTGTTTTATAATAAGTAGAGTATGGTTTTTGGGGTGTTTCAAAAAAATAGTAAGAAGAAGGGAAACTGTCACATTCATCAATGATTGAAATGAATAATAAAGCTTGATTTGTGTAGTTGGAAGCCATTCTTTTCAGCTGAACATGCACCAATCATTTTTTTCCGGTGGATATTATTATTATTATACATGGTAACTATCATTTTGGCATGGTATGAAATCAAAAAAATGCGATGGAAGCTGGCGAAATGGGGTCTTTTGAATGGTCCACACTCATATTTATCTTTTCTCAATGACCCGAATGTTCCAGTCCACCGACACAATCACCCATCATGGAAATTTTCTGCCAGCCAGCTAGAAGGAAGCAGAGAGGGAGGGAATCACTTTCTAACTTTTCACGAATCACAATGATGGATGATGATGAGAATATACTAGCCCGTTTGTAAGACCACTTCTTCTTTTTCAACTGCTGATTTTATAGGTATGTAACCCTCCCCTTAGTAAAAGACATGATGTCCTTAAAGAGACACTTAGGCCTAAATTTGGAGAACAAGCATGTAGAATGAGGTTATGTATAACAATAAGAGTAGACAGTACATTCACACAAATAAAAATTGATTAATATTATACAGAAGGATACTGACTTGATCGTTAGATGGGCTTATCAGAAACTCAATTTCGATTTGGCTTTATGCTCGCAAGACTTCATGGAACTGGGATTAAGTCAGACGCTTCTACATTTTGGTGACGCCTGTGAGGATCCCATCGATAGTCGCGGTTCCCGCGCATAGCACTACGAAAAAAATAGCCAATAACAGTAGAAAGGAATAGAGAAGCGAGGAAGTAGAGGGCATCGCTATCCGATAATTAAGAGATTTTTAAAAATTTATTATTGTTTTTAAGAGAAAAAGAATTAAAAAAAATTTTAAAGTCATCACCTAATTTTAATAGTAACAACGAACTTAAAAAGGATAATTGATTCAAAAATTCTGAATAAAATGTTGGTTATATTTTTAGAAAGATAATAATCACCTCAAAGCATTTTTTTTGAAAAAATGTACCAAGTTTAATCTAATTCAAGTCTATTATTTCTTAAATTTATTTTTCAAGTTTATTTCTCATCCAAATCAAATTATTTTTTTGTTTTCTAATTAAGGCATCATATTAAATTAATGTTGAGCTCCATGGTTGAGAGTCGCATCAATTTATGTAATACCCCGAATCGATACTAGATAAATTAAAAATATATTAAAGGTGTGGAAAAAATATTTCATAAGCATGGAATAGTTGTAAATAGGTTGATAGAATATTTGGTATGCTTAGGATGATTTTTCCGTGCCGAGTGAATATTTTATCTAATTTTCGTTGTATAAATAGTGATTTTTTTTTCAAATTAATTATTGTAAGTACGATAAATATGCATGAAAAATGTTCTGGCAGCATAAAAAATTTCCTAGAGAGATTATTTGATGTCATTAGATAAATTTTCTGATGCTCTATGATTATTTTATATAAAGTTTATTGTGCATGAATACTCGTTTTAAGATAAATTAATTAATTTAAGTGCTTAATATGTATAATAAAATAACCCAGTGAGCATAGAAAAATCATTTAGGATGTGTAGGAATATTCTATAAACTTAGGTGAATTTTTCTATGTATAAGGAATATTTTCTATAGGAAATAGTATATTTTTACGCAAAATAATTAATTTAAAAGCCTAAATAAGTGTATAAAAATTATGTGAACGATGATTAAATTCTTTTAAGAGGTGTTTGAATTTATTATGAAAAGAAATTGAATATTGGAAAGGTATGGAATAAAATTTTAGAACTAGGGACCTAATTGCATAAAATTAAAAATTTAAACTTTTAAATTAAATTATAAATGAACTTTAGGAGTTAAAAATTTGTTAGAAAACCTTTAAAGGAATGCCCCAAAGCAATCAATTGAATAATTGATGGACTTATGGAGGAGTAATTAGAAGAAACTATTGGCAACTTTAAGGATCAAAATTAAGCAATTTTTGGGAGGAATTTCTTCACCTTTTACCGCCACTTTCAGCTCAATAATTAGAGTGTAATTAATGCATGCACAAATGGAAGGAAGAGATCTAAAGAGAGTAGTTAGATAGAGAGACAAAATTTAAAGACTAAATGGATGGCTAAGATGAAAACAATTGAAAGGGCAAGATTTAAAGATGAATCAAGAGCTAAGATTGTACCAAATTAAGGGTGGAGATTAAGTCAAAAATCTACCAAATCTTGTCCATAGATATGAGTGCAAGAAAAAGAGGACAATGCAAGGAAATTGGCAAAATACAAAGGAAACTTTTAAAGAATTTCTATAGGAATTCCACCTAAACTTCTTCAAAACCACCTCTAAACACTTCCAACCACCTAATTAAACAAGTTATTCAAGCTAGGGGGTCAAGAATCATCAAAGGGAAAAATTGAAGTTCGGGCCAAATTTAGAGAAAAAGAGGGAGGGAGGAAATTTCACCTTTTAAGGACAAATTGGAGGTAAATTATGTATGCTAAACTCGCCTCCATTACAAGGAGCATTTAATTGATGCCAATTGATGATTTGGATGCTTTAATTTGTGTTTATTGGCCTTAACTTTGAAAATTAGGGTTCTTTATGAGAAAAAATTGGAAAAAATGATTTTAAGTTAGAAATTCATGCAATTGAAGCCTAAATATGCCAATTGAGCTTAAAATTTATGATTAAAAATTAAATATTTATAGGATTAGGAGCAAGGAGGCATTTGGCCCAATTCTTGATTTTTAGGGTTTTTTATGCTTTACTTGTTTTGATGATTTATCATTTGATTATGTGTTAATTAGGCATGAATTGATGACTGAGTGTGAGAAATTACATTAAAAATGAAGAATTTTTATTGAATTTCTTAGCAACCCATTTGGCCCAAAACTTGTGATTTTAGGGTTAGGGTTCTTTTTGTATTATGTTGGTATATATATATTTATAAAGCAGTTCATAAAAATTTTATTCGTGCCTGTACTATTTATAAGTTCAATTCATATCATATACAGTTAAAAATAATAATTTCAAATAAAGTATTTAGTACAATGGCATTTTATCTTGCAAAAAGTTAGTAGAACTCTGAATAAACTTTTGTTCATATTAGCACTTTACATATTCATGGAATATCAGTAGAACATTATAATAAATAATGAGACTCTTTTTCTTTTTTATTTCTTCTATTTTTGCAAAAAAAAAAAAGACGGACTTTTTTGTAGTAACATATTATAAATTATCAAGCTTTATATAAAATTGTTTGGATTTAAAAAGCCAAACAATTTAATTTAATAAATATTAAAAACATTTACTTATAAATAATTTAAAACAATCTATTAGAGATTATAAAAAATATTATTTAATGCCAAAAACCTAGTATATAAAAAAATGTATCCTTCTAATATTTTGTTTAAATGGACAGAGTCTTTCCTAACCATTGAAACCATTGTGCCTATTCATCCCAGAGACATATTTATTTGAATTCAAGAACTGTTATTTCTCTTTCTAAAGTGTCATATAATAATAAATAGTAAAAAACGTAGTGTTCTACAAAGATGTATCTATATCTTTGAATAAATAATTCTTACAATATTTCACCAAAAATTACTTTCTCGAAAAATCCTTCCCATTAACATAAAAGAATTGGATTACTCAAATGACATCTTCAAGAGTCACAATTTCATTGCTAAATTTTGAACCACGTAGTATTAAATAAAACCAATAATTCTTCTTCACCTGCTTCTAGCCTGCCCATTACACCAGGTGCTCTTCCGCTTTGTGAGATATTTCGACAACTATAAACAAGCATCACTAAATGATAAGGATCTCCCTTCACCATTTCTCGTGTTTGTCTTCTTTCCTTTCCTTTTGCAAGTTTTAGCTCGTGCAAAAACTGCAGACAAAGTTAGTAGTCTTCTTCATTCTACACTAGGAAATACTAAAACTTTTGTGATTGAGATTCAATTTCACGTAGATCTTTATCGATGTTGCCCCATTGTATAATTTCTTCTCATCCATGCAAACGTGCACCCCACTGTGATAAAATCTTTCAGCGAACCCCACAGATACAAGTTACAGCCTAAACTAACAGCAGGCAGTAAATTTTGGATTGAACAAATCTTACTGTCGCAATGAATTAGAGATCCATAATTCTTCTTTTTTACTGGATGGAATTCCAATGAATTAGATTGACAAGAATCACTAAATTTTCAAATACAAAGTTGCAATTGCCATATCAGAATTCACTGGCTCCTTTCTCTTGGAATATATGGTTTCAGAGAACACCAGTATTTTTTGCAGGTGATAACTTCTACCCAAGTTACAGTCACAACGTGGAAAGGACCATTGAGAAAAATGCTTGTATTTCCAATATGCATAAACAAACAAAAAGAAACAGTGGAGTAGACTGGAGTCATAGTACTCCTGCCTTCTCCTTTCCTAAATCTAGCTAATCAATTGCTGTGGCATCACCAATAGAAAGTTTTCAAGTAAAGATCTTCATTAAACTAATCTTAGAATTTAAAAGTAAGCCAAGCAAACGAGAAATTCTTCATTAAACTGATCCTGTCTTATGTCATCTTCAAGTGGAGTAGAATTAAAAAGTAAGCCAAACATGGGGTCAGTGGATGCCCAATGACTAATGCGCCTTGTTGAAAAGACACCCTACCATTAGATGTCACCTTTGTATAGTGACCCATGCAATATCAACAGCGACTGCATTGGCCATAACAAGTGCACCATCAAGTCCAGCTGAAACATACACGATGGTACATTAGCCACACGATCGAGGTGAATTCTGATCGAAGAAAACTCTTACCAGCTTAGTACGAGAAAATCGTGTACCCGACACAAATAGAGAACAAAGTTGAAGGTAGAAAAGAACCCTTGGAATGCCATCTCAAAGCCCAGCTCGTCCTCCTTGTAAAAATTCAATATAATCATAATATACACTTGGCTGAGATATGGTGAACTCAAAGGTCAGGAGAGGTTCCATTACCTTGATTAAGAACAACTTTCCTCTTCCAGGGATGCACATCCTAGAATAGAGCCACATGCTGGCTCACACATTGGCCTAGTTTCCTTCCATTTTAAAGGCCTAGCTACTGGATTGCAAACCCTCACCAGATCTAATCTCACAATGTCAAACCTTCCAGCTCCTACCTCTTCCCACTTGAGAACCTTTCCACCCAAAATATATAGTTCATCTCTTAGGGAAGCAAAACCATAACTAAAGGCCTCCAATGCCCGCATGTGGTTGGCAAGAATGACTGAAGGTACTGAACCAACAGTGTACCACTCTCCTCCTTCAGACTCCCTTGTTTTAATCAAGCTCTCACCCCAATCAACAACTGTGTATACTCTTCCATCGCACATGACTTGAACTGCAAATTGCATTGCCCTTGAGAAAGGCCAGATGTCCTCCATTGTGCACCATGAATTAATGGATGGATTGAACACTTGAGTTATGTTTGTCTCTGACAGGCCAACCTGGTCACTCAAAACATGAAATTTGCCTTTATGTGATAATCCTAGGCAGTCCATCAATGGAGTCGGCATTGGCGGCAATTCCTCCCATCTGCAATTTGTGCAATGTCATAACCAACAACAAATTTCACTAGCAAAAGATGAAGAAAGTAGAACAAGATCTTAATTCTAGTAGCCCTTATAGGAGGTACTGTGGACTAAGTATTGCTCATGCAATTCACGCAAGCACAAAACCCCTCCCTCACTCCATGGTTGATAGCCATTTAACAGGGACTTTTTTGTGCATGTACATGCATAATGCTCCAATGCATATATACATATGGACTTTGGCCAGAAATGAGAATGAAGATGCATGATTGATTAGGGAATATCGTTATAACCTTTGATTGATCAAATGGTGATGCTCAAATTTTCAGCTAATAAAATTGTAAACTTTGATAGAAGAAACATTCCCGGCTAGACTTAAAAAAATGTTAGAAAATAATATAAATCATATCTTGAGATCTAACCTAAAAGCTTAAATTTTTGGATGAGATGGTCTTTTGATATGGTATCACAGCTTTGTTAACCTAACGGTCAAGAGTTCGAATTCTACCACCTAACGTTCTCCCTTCTAATTAATTACGCACAAGGTAATGTGTGTCCGTGCAAGTTTCAAGCCTAAAAGGCTTTCACTTGAGATGATATATTAGAAAATAATATAAATCATATTTTGGAGTCTCACCTAAAAGATTAAGCTTAGATAATGAACCAAAAACAGATCATCTTTCCAATAATTAAGCGAGCACTCAAATCATAGAGCAAGCAAAAGCCTTGAGGAACTATGGTGTTCAAAAAGAAGGAACTGGTAGTCATTGAACAAATTATCAAGTGTTAGACAACAAAAACAAATAAATATTGTAGTTGTGCAGATGAACATACTTGTCTGTTAAAGGATCGTAAACCTCAGCAAGCGCAAGCCCCTTGGTGCAAGATAAGTTGCGCCCACCAGCAACATAAACCTTACCGGAGATAACACTGCAAGCAAAGTGAGAACGGGGTGTTTGCATTCTTGCCACACTAGTCCACTGTTTCTTAAATGGATCAAACTGGAGAACGTTATCTGTTATTAAAGGTCTTTGGATGGGAACTGATGAATCCAGTGGTGCATAGGAGCCGCCAATGACTAAGAGTCGATTATAAACACAAACACAGGAAAATCCAAAATGCTGCCGGCCAGCACAATCCCCAGAAACCTTTGGCAAGGGATGCCACCGATCAGCTTCAGGATCGAAGGCAACCCATTGGTTGTTAGACTGCTCAGTAAGAACAAACAACCAATCACCAGAACATCCTTGTTTTGCTTTATAGTGGGCATAATCAGAGCTGCGAATTATATCCCTCCAGCTCTTGGAGACAGCTTCAAGCAGTCCGTGGTATCCATGGGATACCTTTGCCAGACACCGCAAGGCCAGGTCGTCCGGTAACCCAGGAATTATAGGTTGATGCATAGATTACCTAAAAAAAAAAAAAAACGATGGGTTGAATAATCAAACAAATACGAACCTCTTACTTCTTCCACTTTAATATACAATACAGCTAGGCCATCGGCAAATATTCCTCATCCTCTCCAAATTTAAAAAGGATATTGTTTTTTTTTTAATTAACTAATTAAAATCTTGTTAAATATAGAACAAGCATGATGAATCCTGTACTAGAACTAAGGTTTTTCATTTCATATATATATATATATAAACATTGAGAGCATCAGTAGCTGATTGAAATTTCATATTATATCCTGCTATGCTCAATTGAATTTTTCTAATACCACAATAAATGAACAAGAAAGGAAATAATCAGAAAGCATAAACGAAATTTACCTTCGTTTACAGTAAGGTTTGAAAACGGGAATATTATTAGTCTTTTGATCTCTCCTCTCCTCTCCTCTCCTCTCGTCTCTTCGGTCTTCTCTTCTCTCCGGAGTCTTATTTTATCATTACAAATCTAAAATGGTTCAGTTGCTTTTCCTTGCCTTCAGCCGCACGCGGACTGTAGTGTGGTGGCAGCATTGTAATTAATTAAAAATTGCAGTGAGTTTACTGTAATTCAGTTTGGCTTTACTATTATCTTACTTATTTAATATTTACATTTACTATTTATTTATTTATTTCTACGCACAGATTTACTACTTATTTAATACACACAGAAAAATGGAGTAAATTATAAATTATTTTTTAAAAATAAATAAATAAATTTAAAAAACTATTTATTTAGACTTTGATTAATGTTGATCAAGCTTAATTTAAATATTTTTTATTAAAAAAAGTTAAGAAAAATATAAACTTTGATTTTTCTAAAACTTAATTTTTGAAATTTTATATCAACAAAATTAAATAAAAAAATTGACAAAGATAATTTTTGTTGACCTATTGAAACTGATAAATGCTAATGAATATGTAATGGAGGGATTAGGTTATATTTGTACGATTGGAGGGTAAAATACAAGAAAAGGTCCTGAAATGATATTAAGTAGGCCCTGTTTTTAATTTGTGACCTTGTTGTGCGCATGGTTGTTCATTTTAAAGGAGAAAGGAGATACAGTACAAGACACTAGTTTGTTTCCGTCCAAGAAGCTTAATTAAATATATTTATTTTAATTTAATACCTTATACTATATCTTAATTTTTTTTTCAGAAGATTACATCAAAGATATAAAGTAACAATAAACATAAAAACTTGCATATAAATTAACTAAAAATATCTTTTTTAACTTTTTGAAAATATGTATGTTTAATTATTATATTTATTTACAAAAAAAAAATCAATAATATTAGTATAAAAAAATATTTGAATTATTAAATGGTTCTTATAAAATATAATTTTAAATTATTTTATTTGAAAAAATTAATTTTAAAATATTAAAAAATTACAAATAAATGGTTAGTGTTATATGTGTAGATGCATAGTTAATTTTTAATAAAATCAATAATCTCAATATTTTTTATATATCATGATCATACCCAACGACTCAAGTATATGCAAGTATAAAGTGAAAAAAAATTTTAAAAAAAAATTTAAGTTGTAAGAGATATATTAAAGTTAACAGAGTGCAACAAAAATAACTAAAAAAATGTATTCCGATAGAATTTAATTATATCAAGAATAAGAAAATAAAACATGTGAATTCTATTACTAAATTGATAATTTATTTTTAAAAATTATACAAAAATCCAAACATAAAGAAAAATAAATCATATTTATTAACAAATAAAATAAAATAAAAAATTAATTTGATGAGAATTTCCATAAGAAATAAAAAATTGAAAAGATTAATTTTAAATGATAAAAATAATATATATATATATATATATATATATATATATATATATATATATATATATATATATATATATATATATATATATATTAAAATCTAAAAACATGAAGGACTAAAAATATCATTTGAAAATACAAAAACATCTTTTGGAAAAATGAAGGATCAAAATAGAATAAAGTGATAACATGAGGTTGCTAGAAATATATTTAACAAATAAGAGATCAAAAATATTTCTTAGAAACATCAAGAACCAAAATAAAATATAATGTAAAATTTGCATATGAATGTCGAAAATTAGCTAAGAAATCACAAAAATACCACCATAAAATTACCAAAATTACCATCCAATGAAAAATGATTTGTGATGAAATGAATAGTAAATACTATTCATTTTCTTCAACTATTTTAGGTGTTTTTGTTGATAATAAGAGAGAGAATTTATGTAAGCACTATTGAATAAAAATGTGTCTATTAAAAATATAATAACACGCTAGAGATTTTAGTCGAACATATATAAAAATTAGATTGGGCTATTTATCAATAACTTTTTAATATGAAAAAAAAAATCGAACTTGAGATTTTTAGGCATGGAAAAGATATTCAATTGACATTTTGATTGTCCGGAATATTAAAATCTAAAGTTATTTCCTATTTATATTTTTGAAATATATTCATTTTATTACACACTCGAAAAACATTTATAAAGTTCCAACTTAAAATAATATGCACAAAAATAAAATAATAACAATGCAGAAAAATAAAGTGGTGCTAATTAGTTTAAGACTTTTTAGTACATTTGTGATTAGAATATTAGTAACCGACACATAACTTGCTTTGGGAATATTAGGGTTTTATGGCAAAAATTGCCCTTAATTTATTATAATTTGACAATTTCATGCATTTATTCTCAATTTACATAATTTGAACTCCAAACTATTATTTTTAAAAAAAATGTTATCCTTATCTCCTTTTTTTCGTTATTTGTAATGATCAATCGAGTTAACTATTAAGAAAATGCTCAAATGATGTCGCTTAAGCGTTCTATTGTTATTTTTTAAAAAAAACATTAACAACAAAAATGAAATTCTAAATTAAAAGGATAAATCGTTTGTCTTATCCTCTTTTAATTCTAATTGCAATCAAAGAGAGAGAGACAACAAGATTGATTTAGGTTTTTGCAAATCAATCGTTTTCTACTTAAAAAATCAAAAAGTGATAGAGAGTAAGAGAGCGAGAGATTGGGTTAGGGTTCATGAGAGAGTAAATTCAAGGTTAGGTGTTTTTGAATTTCTAACTTAATCCAAGTAATTTTCAATGCATTAAGATAATCTACAAATGTCTTTTGTCTTTATTTTTATCATCTTTTGATATTTACTATTAGAGATTCAATTATATATTAGAATTTAGTTATTTTTTTACAAAAAATAGAAAAATAATGGTCCTTTATACTTTGTTGTCCGTGTTTTGTCAAAATCGCAATGAAATATTGAATTCAACTTTAATATTGTGTATTGGAAGAGAGTTTTTTTGAAATCCCGACTTAAAGTATGATGAGTGCATAATTATCATGATTTTTATGTTTTATTATATTGAACCTTATAGCACTTATTGTTTTATATTATATTATTTAAGAATAAGATGACGATTTCGCATTTTTGTAGAAAAATGATTAATCGAACAAAGAAACCTAAAACCCAAGCAAGGAGTATAGAAAACTTTAAAGAGGCGTAAAAGAGTCACGTGGTCGTGTGAAATAAGAAAGGAAATAGCTATCGAACGTGTGACTTAAAGGAAGAAACCATATGGATTCTCAAGCAACACAAACCATGTGAGCAAAAGCATTCCACACAATCGGAGGAAGAAATCTCACACGGCCGTATAGGTGTCCCAATCTAACAAAACCTAAAGAAAGAAGAAGACCACATAAACAATAGACATTGCACATGATTTACGAGTGCAAAGTCACATGTCCGTGTCTTCAAGGCAAAGCGAGTTTACACAGTGAGAAAAGATTCAACATGGCTTGAAAAAAAATCTTCAAACAACAAGCCATGTAACTTTATGTATTAAACCGTGTGGCCATGTAGGTCGACACATACGTGATGTAACCTTAATTTTAGGTATAAATAGCAAAGTTAGGGTATTATTTGAGGATCTCTACCTTTTATCAGCCCACCATTCATAGAGACTCTCTCTTTGTAAACCATTATTAGCAACTAAACTCTATTCTTAGTTGAATCAAGTCGAAGCTTTTGGTTAATCGTCGTGGGATTACAGCTTTATTTCTAAACTTATCTTATTTGGGTATTTTATATTTTTCTCGCATGATTGGTTCATAGTTATATAATTAAATTGATTAGAGTGCATGTTAATTGTTTAGTCATATTAACTTATTATTAGCTAAATATTCAAATTCGTGTAATTGTTTATCTAAACTTATCTCGTGGTAGTAACTAGGGGTTGATAATTATTTTTTACGTTTTCGTTCAATTCCTTGGAAAATATAGAACCGGGTTACATCTTCTCTACTCGTTTAGGAAGGTGGCTTAGCTTCACCTGTCTTTTTCTATCTAATGTTGTTATTGGATTAAATCTATTTAAGTGCTTATTAGGTTGTTCAATAGATAGAGAATTAATTAGGTATCGCATATTCTATTAACAATTAAGGAAAGACTAGGATCAGCATACATATTGTTGTCTTACGGTGAATATTCATAATTAGAATAAAGTAATTATTTAATCAATGATCAGCAACCAAACTAAAAGTGGATAATAAGTTCAACCAAGGCCTCTTTAATATTATTATTCTTTATTACTTTCAATTTTTTCCAAGCATTTCAAACACACAAACCCCTCTTTACACTACAAGAACATTCAAAATAAAAGAAACGATCCATTTAGCCTCTTTCCTCGTGGGTTCAAACCTTACTCGCCCTAACTACAATCTTATGATTGGGTTTAGTGAGAAAGATATAAATTACTAATTTGTTACCGATACAACAAATCCATCAAATTTTATCACCGTTATCGAGGATTATGACTCGAATTTTATTATTTTTGGATATTTTGGTTGTTCTTCTACTTTTTTATTATTGGTATATGACCGGATTTTAACCGGGAGAGTTGATTTTCAATCTTGAATCGAAAAGAGAACCGAGCAAATTGAGAAAAGAA